GGAGGTGCCAGCTCAGCTGCTGCTTTTGGGGTTGCTGGTTATGGGGGTGCTGGTTTTTGGGGTGGTGGGTTTGAGGGTGCTGGTTTTGGGGGTGCTGGTTTTTGGGGTGCTGGTTTTTAGGGTGATGGTTTTGGGGGTGCTGCTTTTTAGGGTGCTGATTTGGGGGCTGCTGGTTTTGGGATTGCTGTTTTTGGGGTTTCTGGGTTTTGAGGATTGCTGGGTTTGGGGGTGCTGGTTATGGGGTGCTGGTTTTGGGGGTGCTGTTTTTTAGGGTGCTGGTTTTGGTGGTGCTGATTTTGGGATTTGCTGCTTTTGGGGTTGCTGCTTTTGGGGCTGCTGGTTATGGGGATGATGGTTATGGGTGTGCTGGTTTTGGGGGTGCTGTTTTTTAGGGTGCTGTTTTGGGGTTGCTGGTTTTGGGATTGCTGGTTTTGGAGGTGCTGAGTTTGGGGTTGCTGATTTTAGGCATGCTGGTTTGGGGGTTCCTGGTTTTGGTGGTGCTGGTTTTTGGAGTTGCTGTTTTTTAGGGTGCTGGTTTTGGTGGTGCTGATTTTTAGGGTGCTGATTTGGGGGCTGCTGGTTTTGGGATTGCTGGTTTGGGGGTTTCTGGATTTGAGGACTGCTGTTTTTGGGGCTGCTGGTTTTGGGATTGCTGGTTTTGGAGGTGCTGTGTTTGGGATTGCTGATTTTAGGCATGCTGGTTTGGGGGTTGCTGGCTGTGGGGTTGGTGGATTTTGGGGGGGGCTGTTTTTAGGGAGCTGGTTTTGGGGTTCCTGGGTTTTGGGGGTGCTGGTTTTTGGGGGTGCCGTTTTTTAGTGTGCTGGTTTTGGTGGTGCTGATTTTGGGATTGCTGGTTATGGGGTTGCTGGGTTTGAGGATGCTGATTTTAGGGGTGCTGGTTTTGGGGTTGCTGTTTTTGGGGATGATGGTTATGGGGATGCTGGTTTTGGGGTTTCTGGTTTTGGGGGTGCTGTTTTTTAGGGTGCTGATTTGGGGGCTGCTGGTTTTGGGATTGCTGTTTTGGGGGTTTCTGGGTTTTGAGGATTGCTGGTTTTGGGGTTGCTGCTTTTGGGGATGCTGTTTTTGGGGGTGCTGGTTTGGGGGTGCTGTTTTTTAGGGTGCTGTTTTGGGGGCTGCTGATTTTTGGGATTGCTGGTTTGGGGGTTTCTGGGTTTTGAGGATTGCTGGGTTTGGGGTTGCTGGTTTTGGGGTTGCTGGTTATGGGGATGCTGTTTTTGGGGATTGCTGGTTTGGGGGTTGCTGGTTTGGGGATGCTGGTTTTGGGATTGCTGGTTTTGGGGGTGCTGGTTTTTGAAGTTGCTGTTTTTTAGGGTGATGGTTTTGGGGGTGCTGTTTTTTAGGGTGCTGGTTTGGGGGCTGCTGTTTTTGGGGTTTCTGGATTTTGAGGATTGCTGGCTTTTGAGGTTGCTGCTTTTATAGGTGCTGGTTATGGGGCTGCTGTTTTTGGGGATGCTGGTTTGGGGTTGCTGGTTTTGGGATTGCTGGTTTTGGAGGTGCTGAGTTTGGGGTTGCTGATTTTAGGCATGCTGGTTTGGGAGGTGCTGGGTTTGGGGTTCCTGAGTTTTGGGGGTGCTGGTTTTGGGGTTGCTGGGTTTTGGGATTGCTGTTTTTTAGGGTGATGGTTTTGGGGGTGCTGTTTTTTAGGGTGCTGGTTTGGGGGCTGCTGATTTTTGGGATTGCTGGTTTGGGGGTTTCTGGGTTTTGAGGATTGCTGGGTTTGGGGTTGCTGGTTTTGGGGTTGCTGGTTATGGGGATGCTGGTTTTGGGGTTGCTGGTTTTGGGATTGCTGGTTTTGGAGGTGCTGGGTTTGGCGTTGCTGATTTTAGGCATGCTGATTTGGGGGTTGCTGGGTTTGGGGTTGCTGTGTTTTGGGGGTGCTGGTTTTTAGGGGGCTGGTTTTTGGGGGCTGCTGGTTTTGGGGTTTCTGGGTTTTGAGGATTGCTGGTTTGGGGTTGCTGGTTTTGGGATGCTGGTTTTGGAGGTGCTGAGTTTGGGGTTGCTGATTTTAGGCATGCTGGTTTGGGAGTTGCTGGGTTTGGGGTTCCTGAGTTTTGGGGTTGCTGGTTTTTGGGGTGCTGGTTTTGGGGGTGCTGGTTTTGGGGTTCCTGGGTTTTTAGGGTGCTGGTTTTTGGGGGTGCCGTTTTTTAGTGTGCTGGTTTTGGCGGTGCTGATTTTGGGGATGCTGTTTTTGGGGATGCTGGTTTGGGGTTGCTGGTTTTGGGATTGCTGGTTTTGGGGTGGTGGGTTTGAGGGTGCTGGTTTTGGGGGTTCTGGTTTTTGGAGTTGCTGTTTTTTAGGGTGCTGTTTTGGGGGCTGCTGGTTTTGGGATTCCTGTTTTTGGAGGTGCTGGGTTTGGGGTTGCTGTTTTTGGGATTGCTGGTTTTTGGGGTGGTGGGTTTGAGGGTGCTGGGTTTGGGGTTCCTGGTTTTAGGGGTGCTGTTTTTTAGTGTGCTGCATTTGGTAGTGCTGATTTTGGGATTGCTGATTTTGGGGGTGCTGGTTTTGGGGTTGCTGGTTATGGGGTGCTGGTTATGGGGGTGCTGGTTTTTGGGTTGCTGGGTTTTGGGGGTGCTGTTTTTGGAGTTGCTGTTTTTTAGGGTGCTGGTTTGGGTGCTGCTGATTTTTGGGATTGCTGGTTTGGGAGTTTCTGGGTTTTGAGGATTGCTGGGTTTGGGTTTGCAGGTTTTGGAGTTGCTGGTTATGGGGTTGCTGTTTTTGGGGTTGCTGGTTTTGGGGTTGCTGGTTATGGGGATGCTGGTTTGGGGGTTGCTGGTTTTGGGATTGCTGTTTTTGGAGGTGCTGGGTTTGGGGTTCCTGGGTTTTGGGGGTGCTGGTTTTTAGTGTGCTGCTTTTGGTAGTGCTGATTTTGGGATTGCTGATTTTGGGGTTGCTGCTTTTGGGGGTGCTGGTTATGGGGATGCTGGTTATGGGGGTGCTGGTTTTGGGGTTGCTGGGTTTGAGGATGATGATTGGGGGTTGCTGGTTTTTGGTGTTCCTGGTTTTGGGGGTGCTGATTTGGGGGTTGATGATGTGGGATTTGCTGGGTTTAGGGGGTTGCTGGTTTTTAGGGATGCTGGTTTTGGGGGTGCTGATTTTGGGATTACTGGTTTTGGGGTTTCTGGGTTTTGAGGATTGCTGGTTTTGGGGTTGCTGATTTTGGGATTACTGGTTTTGGGGTTTCTGGGTTTTGAGGATTGCTGGGTTTGGGGTTGCTGCTTTTGGGGTGCTGATTTTGGGATTACTGGTTTTGGGGTTCCTGGGTTTTGGGTGCTGGGTTTTGGGGTTGCTGGATGTGGGGGTGCTGTTTTTGGGGCTGTGACACCTCTCCCTGTCCCGTGGGCAGGAGTTGGGGTGCAGGACCACGCACTGCAACCTGGAGGTGGTGCAGAGGAGCACCCTGGTCTTCCTGGCCATCAAACCCCACGTGCTGCCGGGTGTCCTGGAGGAGATCCGTCCTGCCGTGGGCACCCACCACATCGTGGTCTCCCTGGTGGCTGGAGTCACCATCCAGACACTGCAGAGGGTGAGCCTCCTCTCCTTCTCCTCCTCCTTCTCCTCCTTCTCCTCCTCCTCCTCCTTCTCCTCCTCCTTCTCTTCCTCCTCCTCCTCCTTCTCCTTCTCCTCCTTCTCCTTCTCCTTCTCCTTCTCCTTCTCCTTCTCCTTCTCCTTCTCCTTCTCCTTCTCCTTCTCCTTCTCCTTCTCCTTCTCTCCTTCTCCTTCCTCCTCCTCCCTCTCCTCCTCCTCCTTCTCCTTCCTCCTTCCTCCTTCTCCTTCCTCCTTCTCCTTCTCCTTCTCCTTCTCCTTCTCCTTCTCCTTCTCCTTCTCCTCCTCCTCCTTCTCCTTCTCCTTCTCCTTCTCCTCCTCCTCCTTCTCCTCCTCCTTCTCCTTCTCTTCTTCTCCTCTCTTTTTCCTTCTTCTCCTTTTCCTTCTTCTCCTTGTCCTCCTCTCCTTTTCCTTCTCCTCCTCCTCCTTCTCCTCCTTCTCTTCCTCCCCCTTCTCTCCTTCTCCCCTTCCTCATTTTCTCCTCCTCCCTCTCTCATTCTCCTTTCCTTTTCCTTCTCCTCCTCCTCCTCTATTTCTCCTCCTCTCCTGCTTTTTTCTTTTTCTTCTTCTCCTCTCCTCCTCCTTCTCCTTCTTCTCCTTCTTCTTCTTCTCTCCATCTCCTTTTCCTACTCCTACACTTTTACTCCTCTCCTTTTCTTCTCCTCCTTTTCTCCTTTTCCCTCTCCTCATTTTCTCCATCTCTCCTTCTCCTCCTCTCCTTTTCTTTCTCCTCCTCCTCCTCCTCCTTTTCCCTCTTCCTCCTTCTCTCCTTCTCCTCTTCCTCATTTTGTCCTTCTCCATCTCTCATTCTTCTCTCCTTTTCCTTCTCCTCCTCTTCCTCTACTTCTCCTCTTCTTTTTCTCTTCTCCTTCTCCTCTCCTTTTCCTTCTCCTCCTTTTCGTCCTCTTCTCCTCCTTCTCCTCCTTCTCCTCCTTTTCCTTCTCCTTCTTCTCTCCTTCTCCTCTTTCTCTCTTCCCTCCTCCTCCTCCTCGTAGTCCATTTTCCCCGGACCCACAGAGGACACACCCCTTTGTCCCTGTCCCCACCCCTCCAGCTCCTTCCCCACACCCCACCCTTCCCCCCCCGCCCCTCTGGGTGACACCCACCGGTGTCAGGGCCACCATGCCGGGGTTGCCTCCCCCTTTTCTCCCATCCCGCTCTCTCCGGCAGCTCCTCCCTCCCTGGACCAAAGTGCTGCGGATCATGCCCAACCTGCCGTGCGTGGTGCAGGCCGGGGCCATGGTCTTCTCCCGGGGCAGCAGCGCCGGCGACAAAGAATCCGCCCTCCTGCAGAACCTGCTGTCGTCCTGCGGGCTCTGCGAGGAGGTCCCCGAGTCCTACATCGACATCCACACCGGCCTCAGCGGCAGCGGCGTGGCCTATGTGAGCTCCGGGGTGGGAATTCCCGTCCCGCTGGGATCCGCGGGGGTTTCGCTTGGCTCCGGCTCAGCCCGGGGGTCTCCCCTCGGTCCCGGCTCGGTCCGGGGGGCTCCGCTTGGCTCCGGCTCGGTCCGGGGGGCTCCTCGGTCCTGGCTCAGTCGGGGGGCTCCCCTCGGTCCTGGCTCAGTCCAGGGGTCTCCCCTCGGTCCCGGCTCAGTCCAGGGGGCTCCCCTCGGTCCCGGCTCAGTCCAGGGGGCTCCCGGTCGCCAGTCGGCTCCCTCGTCCCGCTCAGCCCGGGGGTCTCCCCTCGGTCCCGGCTCAGTCCAGGGGGCTCCCCTCGGTCCCGGCTCAGTCCAGGGGGCTCCCCTCGGTCCCGGCTCAGCCCGGGGGTCTCCCCTCGGTCCCGGCTCAGCCCAGGGGGCTCCCCTCGGTCCCGGCTCGGTCCGGGGGGCTCCCCTCGGTCCCGGCTCAGCCCGGGGGACTCCCCTCAGTCCCGGCTCAGCCCGGGGTGCTCCCCTCGGTCCCGGCTCAGCCCGGGGGACTCCCCTCAGTCCAGGGGGCTCCCCTCGGTCCCGGCTCAGCCTGGGGGGCTCCCCTCGGTCCCAGCTCAGTCCAGGGGGCTCCCCTCGGTCCTGTCTCAGTCCAGGGGGCTCCCCTCGGTCCCGGCTCAGTCCGGGGGTCTCCCCTCGGTCCCGGCTTAGCCCGGGGGCCTCCCCTCAGTCCCGGCTCAGCCCGGGGGGCTCCCCTCGGTCCCGGCTCGGTCCGGGCATCTCCCCTCGGTCCCGGCTCAGCCCGGGGGGCTCCCCTCGGTCCTGGCTCAGTCCAGGGGCCTCCCCTCAGTCCCGGCTCAGCCCGGGGGGCTCCCCTCGGTCCCGGCTCAGCCCGGGGGGCTCCCCTCGGTCCTGGCTCAGTCCAGGGGGCTCCCCTCGGTCCCGGCTCAGCCCGGGGGGCTCCCCTCGGTCCCGGCTCGGTACGGGGCGCTCCCCTCGGTCCTGGCTCAGTGCAGGGGGCTCCCCTCGGTCCCGGCTCAGCCCGGGGCGCTCCCCTCGGTCCCGGCTCGGTCCGGGGGGCTCCCCTCGGTCCTGGCTCAGTCCAGGGGGCTCCTCTCGGTCCCGGCTCGGTCCGGGGGGCTCCCCTCGGTCCTGTCTCAGTCCAGGGGTCTCCCCTCGGTCCCGGCTCAGTCCAGAGGGCTCCCCTCGGTCCTGTCTCAGTCCAGGGGGTTCCTCTCGGTCCCGGCTCAGCCCGGAGGGCTCCCCTCGGTCCTGGCTCAGCCCGGGGGGCTCCCCTCGGTCCTGGCTCAGTCCAGGGGGCTCCCCTCGGTCCTGGCTCGGTCCAGGGGGCTCCGCTCGGTCCCGGCTCAGTCCAGGGTGCTCCCCTCGGTCCCGGCTCAGCCCGGGGGATTCCCCTCGGTCCTGGCTCAGTCCAGGGAGCTCACCTCGGTCCCGGCTCGGTCCGGGGGGCTCCTCTCGGTCCCAGCTCAGTCCAGGGGGCTCCCCTCGGTCCCAGCTCAGCCCGGGGGGCTCCTCTCGGTCCCAGCTCAGCCCGGGGTGCTCCCCTCGGTCCCGGCTCAGCCCGGGGGGCTCCCCTCGGTCCCGGCTCGGTCCGGAGGTCTCCCCCCGACCCCCTCTCAGCCCGGGTACCCCCGTTGTGCCCCTCCAGGTGTACCTGTTCGCCGAAGCCTTGGCCGAGGGCGCGGTGAAGATGGGGATGCCGGAGCCTTGGCCGGCAGGATCGCGGCACAGACGCTGCTGGTGAGCTGGGAACACCTCGGGGAACACCCCGGGAACACCTCGGAACACCCCAAAACACCCCAAATCGCTCCTTTCCCGCGCTTTCCACCCGGCCCTGGGCTCCACAACAGCTGTCAGGGCGAGGGAGGAGGTGCTGGTTTTGGGGTGCTGGTTTTGGGGTGCTGGGTGAGAGGTGTTGGTTTTGAGGGTGCTGGTTAAGGGTACTGGTTTTGGGAGTGTTGGTTTTGGGGGTGCTGATTAAGGGGTGCTGGTTTTAGGGTGTTTGGTTTTGGGGGTGCTGGTTAAGGGGTGTTGGTTTTGAGGGTGCTGGTTTTGGGGGTGTTGGGGGTGCTGGTTTTGGGGGTGCTAGTTAAGGGGTGCTGCTTTTTAGGGTACTGGTTAAGGAGTGCTGGTTTTGAGGTTGTTGGTTTTGAGGGTGCTGGTTAAGGGGTGCTGGTTTTGGGGTGTTGGTTTTTAGGGTGCTGGTTTTGGGGGTGCTGGTTTTGGGGTGTTGGTTTTGAGGGTGCTGGTTTTGGGAATGATGGGGTTGCTGGTTTTGGGGGTGCTTGTTAAGAGGTGCTGGTTTTGGGGTTGCTGGTTTTGTTTTTTCTGGGCTTGGGGTGCTGGTTTTGGGGTGTTGGTTCTGAGGGTGCTGGTTTTGGGGGTGTTGGGGGTGCTGGTTAAGGGGTGCTGGTTTTTAGGGTACTGGTTTTGGGGGGTTGGTTTTGAGGGTGCTGGTTTTGGGATTGCTGGTTTTGGGGTGTTTGGATTTGGGGTTGCTGCTTTTTAGGGTGATGGTTAAGGGGTACTGGTTTTGAGGGTGTTGGTTTTGGGATTGCTGGTTTTGGGATGCTGGTTTTGGGAGTGCTGGTTTTGGGGTGTTTGGATTTGGGGTTGCTGTTTTTTAGGGTGCTGGTTAAGGGTGCTGGTTTTGAGGGTGTTGGTTTTGGGATTGCTGGTTTTGGGATGCTGGTTTTGGGGTGTTTGGATTTGGGGTTGCTGGTTTTTAGGGTGCTGGTTAAGGGGTGCTGGTTTTGGGGTTGCTGGTTTCTGGGGTGCTGGTTTTGGGGTTGTTGGTTAAGGGGTGCTGGTTTTGGGGTTGTTGGTTTCTAGGGTGCTGGCTTTGGGTGTGCTGGTTATGGGGTGCTGGTTTTGGGGTGCTGTTTTTGGGGATGCTGGTTAAGGGGTACTGGTTTTGAGGGTGTTCGTTTTGGGAGTGCTGGTTTTGGGAGTGCTGGTTTTGGGTGTGCTGGTTTTGGGATTGCTGGTTAAGGGGTGCTGGTTTTGGGGTGTTGGTTTTTAGGGTACTGGTTAAGGAGTGCTGGTTTTGAGGTTGTTGGTTTAGAGGGTGCTGGTTAAGGGGTGCTGGTTTTGGGGTGTTGGTTTTTAGGGTGCTGGTTTGGGGTGCTGTTTGAGAGGTGTTGGTTTTGAGGGTGCTGGTTTTGGGAATGTTGGGGGTGCTGGTTTTGGGGTGCTTGTTAAGAGGTGCTGGTTTTGGGGTTGCTGGTTTTGGTTTTTCTGGGCTTGGGGTGCTGGTTTTGGGGTGTTGGTTCTGAGGGTGCTGGTTTTGGGGGTGTTGGGGGTGCTGGTTAAGGGGTGCTGGTTTTTAGGGTACTGGTTTTGGGGGGTTGGTTTTGAGGGTGCTGGTTTTGGGATTGCTGGTTTTGGGGTGTATGGATTTGGGGTTGCTGTTTTTTAGGGTGCTGGTTAAGGGGTACTGGTTTTGAGGGTGTTCGTTTTGGGATTGCTGGTTTTGGGGGTGCTGGTTTTGGGGTGTTTGGATTTGGGGTTGCTGTTTTTTAGGGTGCTGGTTAAGGGGTACTGGTTTTGAGGGTGTTGGTTTTGGGATTGCTGGTTTTGGGGTGTTGGTTTTGAGGGTGCTGGTTTTGGGGTGTTGGGGGTGCTGGTTAAGGGGTGCTGGTTTTTAGGGTACTGGTTTTGGGGGGTTGGTTTTGAGGGTGCTGGTTTTGGGATTGCTGGTTTTGGGGTGTATGGATTTGGGGTTGCTGTTTTTTAGGGTGCTGGTTAAGGGGTACTGGTTTTGAGGGTGTTCGTTTTGGGAGTGCTGGTTTTGGGGTGCTGGTTTTGGGTGTGCTGGTTTTGGGGTGCTGTTTTTGGGGATGCTGGTTAAGGGGTGCTGGTTTGGGGGTTGCTGGTTAAGGGGTGCTGGTTTGGGGGTGTTGGTTAAGGGGTGCTGGTTGTGGGGTGTTGGTTTCTAGGGTGCTGGTTTTGGGGTGCTGGTTTTGGGGTTCCTGTGTTTTTAGGGTGCTGATTTGGAGGATGCTGGTTTTGGGCTTGCTGATTTTAGGGATGCTGGTTTTGGGGACGTTGATTTTAGGGATGCTGGTTTTGGGGACGCTGATTTTAAGGGTGCTGGTTTTGGGGTTGCTGATTTTAGGGATGCTGGTTTTGGGGTTGCTGGTTTTTTAGGGTGCTGATTTTAGGGACACTGGTTTTGGGCTTGCTGGTTTTGGGGTTGCTGATTTTAGGGATGCCGGTTTGGGCTTGCTGGTTTTAGGGTGCCGGATTTTAGGGATGCTGGTTTTGGGGTTCCGTGACACTGGTTTTGGGCTTGCTGGTTTTTGGAGTTGCTGATTTTAGGGATGTTGGTTTGGGCTTGCTGTTTTTTTAGGGTGCTGATTTGGAGGATGCTGTTTTTGGGGATGCTAATTTTAGGGATGCTGGTTTTGCGCTTGCTGTTTTTTTAGGGTGCTGATTTGGAGGATGCTGGTTTTGGGGTTGCTGGTTTTTTAGGGTGCTGATTTTAGGGATGCTGGTTTTGGGGATGCTGATTTTAAGGATGCTGGTTTTGGGGACGGTGATTTTAGGAATGCTGATTTTGGGGATGCTGATTTTAGTGTGCTGGTTTTGGGGTTCCTCTGTTTTTAGGGTGCTGATTTGGAGGATGCTGGTTTTGGAGTTGCTGATTTTAGGGATGCTGGTTTTGGGCTTGCTGGTTTTTTAGGGTGCTGATTTTAGTGACGCTGGTTTTGGGCTTGCTGGTTTTTTAGGGTGCTGATTTTAGGGATGCTGGTTTTGGGCTTGCTGATTTTTTAGGGTGCTGATTTAGAGGATGCTGGTTTTGGGCTTGCTGATTTTAGGGATGCTGGTTTTGGGGATGGTGATTTTAGGAATGCTGATTTTGGGGATGCTGATTTTAGGGATGCTGGTTTTGGGGTTGCTGATTTTAGTGTGCTGGTTTTGGGGTTCCTGTGTTTTTAGGGTGCTGATTTGGAGGATGCTGGTTTTGGGGTTGCTGATTTTAGGGATGCTGGTTTTGGGGATGCTGATTTTAGGGATGCTGGTTTGGGGGTTCCTGTTTTTTTAGGGTGCTGATTTTAGTGACGCTGGTTTTGGGCTTCCTGGTTTTTGGAGTTGCTGATTTTAGGGATGCTGGTTTTTAGGGTGCTGATTTGGAGGATGCTGGTTTGGGGACGCTGATTTTAGGGATGCTGGTTTGGGGGATGCTGATTTTAGGGATGCTGGTTTTGGGCTTGCTGGTTTTTTAGGGTGCTGATTTTAGGGATGCTGTTTTTGGGGTTGCCAATTTTAGGGATGCTGGTTTTGGGCTTGCTGGTTTTTTAGGGTGCTGATTTTAGGGATGCTGGTTTTGGAGATGCTGGTTTTGGGGATGCTGATTTTAGGGATGCTGGTTTTGGAGTTGCTGGTTTTTTAGGGTGCTGATTTGGAGTACGCTGGTTTTGGGGACGCTGATTTTAGGGATGCTGGTTTTGGGGACGCTGATTTTAAGGATGCTGGTTTTGGGGTTGCTGATTTTAGGGATGCTGGTTTTGGGCTTGCTGTTTTTTAGGGTGCTGATTTTAGTGACGCTGGTTTTGGGCTTGCTGGTTTTTGGAGTTGCTGATTTTAGGGATGCTGGTTTTTAGGGTGCTGATTTGGAGGATGCTGGTTTGGGGACGCTGATTTTAGGGATGCTGGTTTTGGGCTTGCTGATTTTAGGGATGCTGGTTTTGGGCTTGCTGGTTTTTAGGGTGCTGATTTTAGGGATGCTGTTTTTGGGGTTGCTGATTTTAGGGATGCCGGTTTTAGGCTTGCTGTTTTTTTAGGGTGCTGATTTTAGTGACGCTGGTTTTGGGCTTGCTGGTTTTTGGAATTGCTGATTTTAGGGATGCTGGTTTTGGGCTTGCTGGTTTTTTAGGGTGCTGATTTCAGTGATTCTGCTTTTGGGCTTGCCGATTTTAGGGTGGCTGCTTTTGCACCACCCACCAGGCTGAGGGAGAAGCTTCTACCCCACCTCCTGCCTGAGTTTCCCCCGTCTCCTACACCCCAAAAAACGAGGCCACCAGCGAAGCCCCTCGGGCCGGATGATCCGGGAGGTCCCGTTTTTCCCTCAGGGCGCTGCCAAGATGCTGCTGGAGACCGGGGAGCACCCGGCCAAGCTGCGGGGCGACGTCTGCACCCCCGGGGGCACCACCATCTACGCGCTGCACCAGCTGGAGAAGGGCGCGCTCCGGGCCACCGTCATGAGCGCCGTGGAGGCGGCCACCAACCGCGCCTGCGACATGGCCAAGCACTGACGGCGCCCTGGAGGGACCAAAATCCATCTCCTGTTTTCCAGGAGATCCCAATGCCCTCAGGAATGGAGTGTGGGGGGTGATGGTGGGTGGGAAGGTGTTGCAGTGTTACCTCTGTGGGTGAATAAACGGGGGAAGATGCGGATCCTCGTGGTCCCCTCGGGGGATTTGGGAGGTCACCTCCATGGGGTCACCTTCATGGGGTCACCCCCATGGGGAGGGGACGGCTGGGATGGAGCTGGTGCCACTGTCAGCGAGGATGGAGGTGCCACCATGCCCTCTGTGGGGTTTTTGGGGATGGGCTGGTCCCAGTTGGAGCCTCCCGGAGCTGGGAGAGCGGCCACGTCCCTGCGGTGGGACCGTCCCCGGGGGTGTGGGATTTTTTTATTCCCAGAAATGCGGGGGGGAGGGAGTCAACCAACCCACAGATGGGTCAGCCCCACAGATGGGGGGCTCCACGGGAATGGGATGGAAGCCTAAACCCATTCACAGCTCCCAGGAAAACTCAACCCATCCAGCGAGGATCCAAAGCTTTTCCATGCCCTGACTCAGCTCCGTTGGCCTCCCAGCACTCGTACAGACACAACAGCTGTTCCTGGTGATTTGGGAACCGCTTGGAGGATGAAAAGGCTCCATTTTCCAGGCAAAATGTGGGGTTTGGGGAAAACATCTGGATGCTGAGCGTGCTGATCTCGTGGTTTTGACCCCATTCCGGGGATTCCATCGCTCCAGGGGCCGAAGGCACCAAGCCAAGAAGATTCCAGAGCTTTGTGGTGCTGAACCTGGGAGCACCTGGGAGGTGGGAACCTTCTCCAGGCACCCAATTAATTCATTAGCAAAGCTCCACAGGAGCCAGAAATGGAGCTCGAGCCGGCCTGGAGAAAGGAAGGATCCAGGGAGACCTTGGAGCACCTTCCAGGGCCTGAAGGGGCTCCAGGAGAGCTGGAGAGGGATTTGGGATGAAGGGATGGAGGGACAGCACCCAGGGAATGGCTTCCCAGGGTTAGGTGGGATATTGGGAAGGAATTCCTGGCTGGGAGGGTGGCGAGGGGCTGGGCTGGAATTCCCAGAGAAGCTGTGGCTGCTCCTGGATCCCTGGAAGTGTCCAAGGCCAGGTTGGATGGGATTTGGAGCAACCTGGGCTAGTGGAAGGTGTCCCTGCCCGTGGCTGAAGTCGGACCATGATTTTCCACGATTACACCCCCTGGGCGTGGAACCCGACGGAGAAAACCCCCACCCAGGGGACACAACCACACGAAGGTCCCCTCCTTGTGCCACCCCAAACCCCTCCTGGCTGGCTCCACGGGGCTGCTCACAAACCACAAGCTCCGTGTGGGAATAAAAACCCATTTAATTCCCATAAACTCTGCGCTGAGGAGACAAAGACACGGAGAAACCTCCACCCCTCCAGCTGACCTGGGGCAGCTCCTCGGAGTTCACCTCGTTACCCCCCCGCTCCTCCCTTCAGTAATTTGGTTCAACCGGCTCAAATTTCTTCCAGGTAAGGCCAAGAGCTGCCAAATTCCTCTCTGAGGCCTCCACAATTCCGAGGTGGCTCCCTGCTCCGACCTCAGCTCGCCCACAGGTGTCATCCAGCCCCGACCACCCCCCAAACCTTTGGCTCCCCGGGGATGATGTACCTGGTTCAGCAGGTCCCCGTGGTCCAGGTGTTCCCAGTTGTGGTGGGAATGCTGGTGGTGCTGGTCCCTTTTTCCAGGGAGCTGCAGCTTCTTGGATGCCACCCAAGTGTCCCTTTCCCAATCCAGTGCACGGAGTTGCCTTAAACCGGCCCCAAACCATCCTGGCTTTCTGGGATTTTGTTTCAGCAGTGGGAAGGGCGTCACCAACCCCTTCCAGGGTGGAATATTCGCCCTACAGCACCTCGGGAGTGGTCCCTGTCCAGCTGCTCTGAGATTTGGGGACTCACCTGGGGGAGCATCCCCAATAATCCCGCTGACACCGAGCAGGTCCATCCCTAACCCCTTCTCCCCACGGGATTGGGGCGACCGGGGAAATTTTGGGGAGGGGGCACCCAGCGACCAGGGATGTAAAAAATAGCACCTCCTAACCACGTTCAGGCGAGGAACAACCCCGGAGCACGCCCGAAAATCCCGAAACTGCGACCCCACAGCCTCCCGGTCCCCAGCAGGAATCCTGGTGGGCGCTGGGTCGGGCGGCCCCTCCGCCGCCATCCCGCTGGGATAGCGGGGCATTCCCGGCCCCGTGGCCAGCTGGGGGCGGTTGGTAGCCCAAAGGTGGGCAGCGGTAGCCCCCGGCCTAGGAGTGGGGGCTGCGGCCGCGGCGCAGCCGCTGGGCCGTGGAGATGAGGGAGCGGAGCTGCACCAGCTTCAGCGGCCCCACCTCCCGCGGGTCCTGCCCCTCCAGCCACCGCAGCGCCGTCTCCAGGCCCTGGATGGCTTCCCGAGCCGTGGGAAGCAGCGGGTCTCCTCCTTGCCCACCGCCTCTGCCAGCGGCTGCTTCCTCCTCCTCCTCGTCTTCCTCGGCGCCTTCCTCGCCCGCGTCCTCTTCTCCATCCTCCTCCTCCTCCTCCTCCTCGTCCTCCTCGTCCGCGCCTGGAGCGGCGTCATCCAAGTGCAGCCAGTCGGACACTTCCTCGGGAGCCAAGCGCTTGAAGGCCAGCGCTGCCAGGTGGGTCAGGTCGCTGAAGACTTTGCTGTCCCCTCCTCCTCCTCCTCCTCCTTCGTGTCCCGCTGCCGGGGTTTCTCCGTGCTCCTCCTGGCCGGGATGCGGCTCGAAGGCGGCGCGCAGCCCCAGGAGCCAGCACTTCTCGATGGAGCCCGGCGGGATGAGGTCCCAGGAGAGCCCGGCGAGGCACAGCATGTCCTTGAGCAGGAAGGACCTCACGAAGTCGGCGGGGCCGCCGGGGCCGCCGCAGGACACGGCCAAGCGCAGCAGCTCCCGCTTGTAGAGCTGCTTGAAGGCCGACACCACCCCCTGCTCCAGCGGCGCCGGGATCCGACCCCCGGCTCCGGCGGGGCCGCTCCCGGCGGGACCCTTGGAGAGGAAGAGCGCTCGGATGGAGCCGTCGGGCGTCTGCAAGGGAGGAGAATCCTCACGGCCCGGGCCGAGCAGCAGCACGGCCTTCTGCTGGAGGCAGCTCCGCCGCAGGTAGCGCTTCACCCCCGGCACGAAGTCCTCGAAGAACCACGCCCGGAGCAGCGCCGGTGCCAGCGCGGCCTCGCGGCTGTAGCGGTAACACGCCGGGAACTTGTCCTGGTTGTGGTGCCGGAGGCTGGCGGGATCGCGGAGACCCCCGACCACCAGCGGCTTGAGCTTGTGGGCGCCCGTCAGGTTGGCGGCCAGCAGCACCGTGACGCGCTCGCCCCGCCACCGCCGCCGCCCCCCGCCCGCCGCCGCCGCCGCTGTGGATGCGCTGGCCGGAGATGCCGCGGCGTCGCCGGGGAGAAGCTTCCAGAAGAGGCGGGTGACGTTGGCGTTGTAGATCTGCTCGTCGCCGTAGCCGCCGCCGCCGCCGCCGCCGTCGGGCAGAGCCTCGGGGCGGGCGGCCGGGGCTCGCTCGGGCTCGGCGGCCGCGCCTTCGCCGTAGATGCGCTGGCTGGAGATGCCGTGGCGCTTCTGCCAGCGCCAGAACCAGCCGTGGCTCGCCTTGAAGGTGCATTCCGGCCCGTAGATCTGGCGGGCGAAGGCTTCAGCCTGCGCCTGGATGAGGGGCCCGGAGAGCGGGATGCCGTGCTGGCGCAGCGCCACGAACCAGGCGTAGACGGCGCGGTCGATCTCCTCCTCGTTGGCCAAGCGCATCTTCTTGCGCTGGGTGCCCACCTCGCCCCCGAGCTGCTCCAGGAACCAGCGCAGCTTCGCCTCGTCCTTCAGCCAGCCCCGGAGCGTGCCCCCCGGCACCCCGAAGGCCCGGCACACCGACGCCTGGCGCTCGCCCTTCTTCACCCGCTCGATGGCCTGCAGCTTGTCCTTGATGGAGTAGGCGCGGCGAAGCGACATCTTCGCCGACATCCCCGCGGGGGATGCGCTGCTGCCTCTGCCTCCTCCTCCTCCTCCTCCTCCCCGCCGCCCTCCCGCCATTCCCCCGCCCTCCTCCGGCTCCCCCCCGGGCATGGAGCGGCCCTCGCGTCCATGGGCATGGGGGGCGCGTTATAAGCGGGGAGGGACGCGGGGATGGGGCGCCTTTGTCCCCGCTCCGCTCCCCCGCATGCGCTGGCTCTGCCCCCCCCTACACATCGAGCAGCGCCGCTCCTCCCCCCCCTATTTCTCTGCCGAGTTGGTTTCGTCCTCGTAGCTCCGCCAGGGCCCGCGGGTTGTACCACTCTGCGAAGAGGGGGGTGCGCCCCCCATCGCTGCCCCCCCCCCTCACGCCGCTCGCCTCCCTCACGGGATGTTCCACCTTGTTGTCACGGAGGGTGAGTGGGGGAACACGGCGGCGCCTCACTCGCAGCGAGGGCACTCCCCCTTTCCCCCTTTTTGTTTCCTTCCAAAACGCGAGGAACACCCCCGGAGAAGCAGGGAAGCGCTGCGTGTGCGTGGGAGTGGGTAGGCGCAGCGAGGCGGCGCACCCCCCTTTCCCGCGGAGTGGTACAACCCTTCGGCGCCCCGGAGGCGCGAGGACGAATCCACTCCGCAGCAAAAAAAGGGGGAGGGGACACAAAGCCACGCAAATCCACAGGGAAAGGGGTTGTGCGCGCATCCCGCGTGGATATTCCCCATCTCCCTTCCCACGCGGAGCGGGATGAGCCACTCTATACGTGTTCAGCGCGTTGTTTCCCCACCGTGAATTCTCTTTTTTTCCCCTCCCTCCACGCGCGTGGTACGCGCCGCGCCCATAACGCTCCGCGCGTGGCGCGCCGCCCCCCTTTTATCCCGGCGGCGGCCGAAGGGAGCGGAGCGGCCTCGGGGGGGACCGCGCGGTGAGTCCCGAACCTCTTCCCTCCTTTTCCCAACCCCCTGGGATCCTTATCCCGCCCTTGGGATCCCTATCCCACCCTTGGGATCCTTATCCCGCCCTTGGGATCCTTCATCCCCCTTTCCTGAGCCCCTCCGAGGGGAGTTCGGGGCTCCCCGGAGCGTCCTTTGCCTCCTCCCAGGGGTGGCGGGGGGGGAGGCCCTCGTGGTCCTTGGGGTGAGTTTGGCGTGGGAGAATTCCCAAGGGAAAAGGTGGCGATCCCTCCCCGCTTCCCAATATTTTAGTTCCCTTTTCCCTTAATAGTTCTGGGAAGGGGATTTTGGGAACCTCCCCAAAGTCCTGAAGGAGAGAATTTAAGCTGCCCTTGGATTTTGGGATTACTTTTCCCTACTCAAAATCCCAGGGAATACTGGGATGACTCCCCAATATTTTGAGCTTCTTTTCCCTTAATAATTCAGGGAAGGGGGTTTTGGGAACCCCTCAAAGTCCTGAATGGAAGGGTTTAGGGTGCCCTTGTTTTTTGGGATTAGTTTTTCCCACTCAAAATCCCAAGGAATACTGGGATGAACTCCCTCTTCCCAATATTTTAGGTCCCTTTTCCCTTAATAATTCAGGGAAGGGGGTTTTGGGAACCTCCCCAAAGTCCTAAAGGAGAGAATTTAAGCTGCCCTTGTTTTTTGGGATTACTTTTCCCCACTCAAAATCCCAGGGAATACTGGGATGCCCCCTCCCTTCCCAATATTTTAGATCCCTTTTCCCTTAATAATTCTGGGAAGGGGAATATGGGAATGCTCCCCTTCCTCCCAGAGTCCTGAGGGAGAGGATTTGGGATGCCCTTGATTTTTGGGATTACTTTTCCCCACTCAAAATCCCAGGGAATACTGGGATGACTCCCCCTTCCCAATATTTTATATCCCTTTTCCCTTAATAATTCAGGGAAGGGGGTTTTGGGAACCTCCCCAAAGTCCTGAAGGAGAGAATTTAAGCTGCCCTTGGATTTTGGGATTACTTTTCCCTACTTAAAATCCCAGGGAATACTGGGATGAACTCCCTGTTCCCAATATTTTAGGTCCCTTTTCCCTTAATAGTTCTGGGAATGGGAATATGGGAATGCTTCCCTTCCTCCCAGAGTCCTGAGGGAGAGGATTTGGGATGCCCTTGATTTTTGGGATTACTTTTCCCTACTAAAAATCCCAGGAAATCCTGGGCTGACCCCCCTTCCCAATGTTTTAGTTCCCTTTTCCCTTAATAATTCTGGGAAGGGGGTTTTGGGAACCTCCCCAAAGTCCTAAAGGAGAGAATTTAAGCTGCCCTTGGATTTTGGGATTACTTTTCCCCACTTAAAATCCCAGGGAATAATGGGATGATCCCCCTTCCCAATGTTTTAAGTCTCTTTTCCCTTAATAGTTCTGGGAAGGGGAATATGGGAATGCTTCCCTTCCTCCCAGAGTCCTGAGGGAGAGGATTTGGGATGCCCTTGATTTTTGGGATTACTTTTCCTTACTTAAAATCCCAGGAAATCCTGGGCTGACCCCCCTTCCCAATATTTTAGTTCCTTTTCCCTTAATATTTCTGGGAAGGGGGTTTTGGGAACCCCTCAAAGTCCTGAATGGAAGGGTTTAGGGTGCCCTTGTTTTTTGGGATTAGTTTTTCCCACTCAAAATCCCAGGAATACTGGGATGAACTCCCCCTTCCCAATGTTTTAGGTCCCTTTTCCCTTAATAATTCAGGGAAGGGGGTTTTGGGAACCTCCCCAAAGTCCTGAAGGAGAGAATTTAAGCTGCCCTTGGATTTTGGGATTACTTTTCCCCACTCAAAATCCCAGGGAATACTGGGATGAACTCCCCCTTCCCAATATTTTAGGTCCCTTTTCCCTTAATAGTTCTGGGAAGGGGAATATGGGAATGCTGCCCTTCCTCCCAGAGTCTTAGGGAGAGGATTTGGGATGCCCTTGATTTTTGGGATTACTTTTCCCTACTCAAAATCCCAGGGAATACTGGGATGACTCCCCTGCCCTTTCCCAATATTTTAGATCCCTTTTCCCTTAATAATTCAGGGAAGGGGGTTTTGGGAACCTCCCCAAAGTCCTAAAGGAGAGAATTTAAGCTGCCCTTGTTTTTTGGGATTACTTTTCCCTACTTAAAATCCCAGGGAATACTGGGATGATCCCCCTTTCCAATATTTTATATCCCTTTTCCCTTAATAATTCTGGGAAGGGGAATATGGGAATGCTTCCCTTCCTCCCAGAGTCTTTAGGGAGAGGATTTGGGATGCCCTTGATTTTTAGGGATTACTTTTCCCTACTAAAAATCCCAGGGAATACTGGGATGACCCCCCTGCCCTCTCCCAATATTTTAGTTCCCTTTTCCCTTAATAATTCAGGGAAGGGGGTTTTGGGAACCTCCCCAAAGTCCTGAAGGAGAGAATTTAAGCTGCCCTTGGATTTTGGGATTACTTTTCCCCACTCAAAATCCCAGGGAATACTGGGATGACCCCCCCTTCCCAATATTTTAGGTCCCTTTTCCCTTAATAATTCTGGGAAGGGGAATATGGGAATGCTTCCCTTCCTCCCAGAGTCTTTAGGGAGAGGATTTGGGATACCCTTGATTTTTGGGATTACTTTTCCCCACTCAAAATCCCAGGGAATCCTCGACTGACCCCCCTTCCCAATGTTTTAGATCCCTTTTCCCATAATAGCTCTGGAAAAGGAGGGGGAGGTTCCCACATTCCCAGTGGGGTCTCCTTTCCCGTTGCCCCCCAAAAAGCAGGATGTGGGGAATTCCCTCAATAACTGGGACATCCCTTTCCCAGGATTTGGGAGTCTCCCTAAATTTCTGTGATTTTCCACAGTGTGAGGGAGCAGATTCCCTGTTTTTTTGGGGGAATATTCCTGCTTTGTAAATCCTCACCTCTGGATGACAGAGTGGATGGATCAATGTTATTCCCACCTGGGAAGGAGGGGAATTTTGGGAATCTTCCAAAAGCACCTCCTGGGTCTGCTTTCCCCCCCTAATTCCTTGGAATTCTCATCCAATCACCTGCTCCAAAGGGAATCCGCAGCTGCTGCCGTGTCCTGGCCCGGATCCATCCCAATCCCAACCCCCCCTTGGCTGCCTCTCCCAACTTTTTCTTTGGAGCTCTGGAAAAATCCTCTCTTGGAGTTCTGCTGATTTTCCCTTTGGAATCAGTTGGAATTCCATGATCACAATCCTTTGGGATGAGGAAATTCCCGCTGCTTGGCTGTAACTCTTCCCTCTCCATGTTTTTCTTTTCCAGGTGTTTTCCTGTTTCTCCCTGACCTTCAGGTAGGAATTTTCCCTCCCCCTGAGCTGTTTATTCCCGACTTTTATCCCATTTCTCCCAAAGGAGAGAATTCCCAACATTCCCAGTCTTTCTTTCCCTCTGAATTCCCAAATCCCTGATTTCCTCATCCACAAAGGTTGGGAATTGCCTTTTCCTGGGAGTTTTGCCAAAGGGATGGTGAAAATTCCCACTGGTGTCCAGAGCCGGGAATTTTAGGGAATGGAAACAGCAGGAAAACTGGGAAAGAGCCGATTTTCAGGAATTAAACAACGGAAGAACCACTTTAGGAGGAGCAAAATCTTGGAAACACCGAGTGGAACGTTTGGATTTGGATTTAGTGGGATTTATTCCCGTTTCCCTCCTGGAATCTGCGACCTCTCATCCCGAATTTCCAGGCTGGGATTTGGCGCCTGCAAAGAACAAACATTCCCAAAACCTCGGAATCCCAAACTTCCAGCGGAATTTTGGGGTGGAAAACTGTGGAAAACCCCCTTTTTCCCGGTTTATTTCGGGAAAAGCGACGGACATGGAACAGAAAACTTCACTTTTCCCGATTTTTCCCGATTTTAAGCTTTGAATTCCTTAAAAATCCGCTTTTTTTTTGCTGAGGAAGCAAAAAACGCCTCGGGAATGGCGGGAATTCTTTTTTTGGGAATGGTTGGGGGCTTCAATCGCCCAAAAATCGGGATTGGGATTGGGAAAATCCTTCTGGATGAAACCACAATGAGGTTCTTTTCCTTGCTGTTGGAAATGGGAATAAATTGGGGGGTTTTTTTGGGATGTTTGTCCATGAATTCCATGGAATTCTGGGAATTTCCTGGGTGTT